TTTTTTGAGATGGAGTCTCTATTGCCTAGGCTGGAGTGCAGTGATCTCGGCGCACTGCAACCTCTGTCTCCTGGGTTCAAGTGATTCTCTTGCTTCAGTCTCCTGAATAGCTGGGATTACAGGCATGCGCTATCACACCCAGCTAATTTTTGTATTTTTAGTAGAGACAGGTTTTCACTATGTTGGCCAGGCTAGTCTCGAACTCCCTACCTCAGGTGATCTGCCTGCCTCGGCCTCCCAAAGTGCTGAGATTAGAGGTGTAAGCCCCTGTGAACAGCCCATCTTAATTTCTTTATTGACTCAATGATCATTCAAGGGCATGTTGTTTGATTTCCATGTATTTGTATATTTTTCAAGTTTCCTCTTGATATTGATTTCTAGTTTTATTCCACAGTGGTCTGGGATGATCCTTGTATGATTTAATTTGTAAAAATTTGTTGTTGTTTGTTTTGAGGCCTAATGTATGGTCTTTCTTAGGGAATGTTCCATGTGCTGATGAGAAGAATGTATAATCTGCAGTTGTTGGATGCTCTGTAAACGTGTATTATTATTGGTCTAATGTCTAAATTATGTATAGTGTTTCTTTGTTCATTTTCTGTCTCACTGATCTGTCTAATGCTATGAGTGGGGTGCTGAAGTAAGTCTAGCAATATTTGTTTTATGAATTTGAGTGCTCTGGTGTCATGTGCATATATTTAGCATTTAGATATATTTAGAATTATTACATCTCTTGCTGAATTGACTCCTTTATTATTATGTAATGACATTTTTATCTTTTTAAACTGTTTTTGATGTAAAGTCTGTTTTATCTGATATACTTACAGATACTCCTGCTCACTTTTGATTTCCATTTGCATAGAATTTTTTTCACCTCTTTGTTTTCAGTCTATATGTATCTTTATAAATGAGTGTCTTGTAGGTAGCACATAAAAATGTGTAATGCTTCACAAGTTTGCATGTCATCCTTGCACAGGGACCATACTAATCTTCTCTATATTGTTCTAATTTTAGTATATGTGTTGGCAAAATGGCCACCCACACTTTAAAAAATACATTTATCTACTGATGGACACTTAGGTTGATTACATAGACTGGCTATTGTGAATAATGCAACAATCAGCACAGGCATGCCGATGTCCCCTCAACATATTGATTTCAGTTCCTTTGAGTGTATGGCCAGAAAAGAGATTACTGGATCATACTGTACTTCTAGTTTTAGTTTTCTGAGGAACTACCATACCAGTTTTCATAATGGCTATACTAGTTTCCATTCCCACCAACAATGTACAAGAGTTCCTCTTTCTCTGCATCTTTGCCAACACTTTTCATCCTTCATCTTTTTTAAAAAAGCTACTCTAACACGTATGAGATGATATCTCATTTTGGTTTTGACTTGCATTTTCTTAATAATTAGTGATGTTGAACATTTTTTTATGTTACCTGTTGACTATTTTTGTGTCATTTTAGAAAATATCTGTTCAGGTCCTTTGCCCATTTTTTAATTGGGTTATTATTATTTTTTGGCTATTGAATTGAGTTCTTATAAAATTTGAGTATTAACTTCTTCTATTTATTTATTTATTTATTTTGGAAAGAAAGAAAGAGAAAGAGAAAGGGGGAGAGAGAACAGGAGTCTTGCTCTATTGCCCAGGCTGGAATGCAATCTAAAAATAGGTATTAAAAACCTCTTTTATGCCGATAATTGTGCTTAATAGCGGAGACAGGAAGGAATAAGGGAAGAAAAAAACAAACAGCCAAACAGTATTTCATTTAAGTCTGTGAAATGCTATGCAAATGCTGAAGAGTGATTTACTTCCAATTATGTAGTCACTTTCAGAATAGGTGTAATATGGTACTGAGAAAAATGTATGTTCTGTGGACCTGGGGTGAAGAATTCTATAAATATTCACTGAGTTTACTTGCTCCAGGTCTGAGTTCAAATCATAGATGTCCCTGTTAATTTTCTATCTCGTTGATCCATCGAATATTAACAATGCGTTGTCAAAGTCTCCCGCTATTATTGTGCGGGAGTCCAAGTCTCTTTATAAATCATTAAGAACTTGTCTTATGTGTCTGGATGTTCCTATATTGGGTGCATATATATTTATGATCATTGACTCCTGTTGTTGCATTGATCCTTTTACCATTATGTAATGTCCTTCTTTGTTTCTTTTAGTCTTTGTTACTATTAAAGTCTATTTTGTCAGAGACGAAAGTTACAACTCCTGTTTTCTTTTTTTTTTTTTTTTTTTGCTCTCCATTTGAGAGCAACCCATGTTTTGAGTTTTTGTGTGTCGTTGTTTATGAGATGGATCTGGATACAGCGAACCAATGGGTTTTGACTTTTTATTCCATTTGCCTGTCTGTGTCTTTGATTGGGGCATTTAATCCATTTAAATTTAGGATTAATATTGATATTTGTGAGTTTAATATTGTCATTTAATGCTAGCTGGCTATTTTGCCCATTAGTTGATATAGATATTCTTCATTATGGAGATACTCTTTACCTTTTGGTAAGTTTTTGGGATGACTGTTACTGGTTGTCCCTTTCTGTGTGTAGTGCGTCTTCCAGAAGCTCTTGTAAAGCGGGCCTGGTGGTGATGAAATCTCTGAGTGCTTGCTTGTTCGTGAAAAATTTTATTTTTCCTTCATTTATGAAGCTTAATTTGGCTGGATATGAGATTCTGGGTTGAAAATTCTTTCCTTTGAGGATATTGAATATTGACCTCTACTCTCTTCTTGTTTGTAGTGTTTCAGCTGAGAGATCTGCTGTGAGTCTGATAGACTTCCCTTTATGGGTAACCTGACCTTTCTCTCTAGCTGCCCTTAGAATTTTCTCCTTTATTTCAACCCTGGTGAATCTAACGATTATGTGTCTTGGGGTTGCTCTACTTGAGGAATATCTTTGTGGTGTTCTCTGTATTACCTGAAGTTGAGTATTTTCCTGCCTTACTAGGTTAGGAAAGTTTTCCTGAATAATATCCTGAAGAATATTTTCCAGCTTGGATTCATTCTCTTCATGACATTCAGGTACACCTATCAAACGTAAATTAGATCTTTTCACATAGTCCCATATTTCTTGGAGACTTTGCTCATTCCTTTTTACTCTTTCTTCTCTAATCTTTTCTTCTCGTTTCATTTCATTAAGTTGGTCTTCGACCTCTGATATCCTTTCTTCTGCTTGATCAACTTGATTGTTAAAACCTGTGCATACTTCACAGAGTTCTTGTATTGTATTCTTCAGTTCCATTAATTCACTTATATTCTTCTCTAGATTGTCTATTCTCATTAGGATTTCATCAAACCTTTTTTCAAGGTTCTTAGTTTCTTTACATTGGGCTAGAACATGTTCTTTTAACTCACAGAAGTTTCTTATTATCCACCTTCCGAAGCCTAAATCTGTTAATGGAAAGCACTTGTTCTCCATCAGGCCTTGTTCCCTTATTCATGAGGAACTGTGATCCCCTGTAGAGGGAGAGGCATTCTGATTTTGGATATTCTCAGGCTTTTTACGCTGGTTTCTTCCCATCATTGTAAATTTATCCACCTGTTGTCTTTCTAATTACCGACTTTCAAATTAGGTCTCTGAGTGGACATCCAACTTGTTGATTCCCAGCACTGGAATCTGAGCAACCCACTGCGCCGGCCAAAACGGCAGCGTTAAGATTCGTGGTGCTTTTCTGCCCAGGAATCTCTGGTCTGACTTCCTTCTTGAGTCCCTTTTTCAATCAGCTGAATAGGCGACTCTGCCTTCCTGGAGCTCCAAACATCGATCAAAAGGGGAGCCAGTCCCGTTTACTCTGCACCAAGAACCCATGGGGCTCCTCTGCTGGGAATCTCCTGGTCCGTGAGCAACAAAAATTCATCTGAAAGTGTGGTGTCCTCTCGTTCTCTGCGCTTTCATTGGGAGCTACAATCCTGAGCTGCTAGTAATCAGCCATCTTGGATCTTTCTCGAGTATTAGCTTCTTATCAGATGTAGGGCTTGCAAATTTTTTTCCATGCTATGGGCTATTTCTTTGCTTTGTGGTTTCCTTTGTGATGTAGAAGATTTTTAGCTTGATGTAATACCATTTGTCTATTTTTACCTTTGCTGGCTATGCTTTCAAGGTCCTATATTCCAAAAAAAAAAATCAACAATCAGACCAATGTCATGGACCTTTTTTTTCCTATTTTTTTCTTCTGGTAGTTTTACAGTTTCAGCTATTATACTTAAGTCTTTAATCCATTTTGAGTTAATTTTTATATATGGTGCAGGACAAAGATCCAGTTTCATTCTTGTGTATGTGGATGTCTAGTTTTCTCAAGACCATCTTTTGAAAAGACTATTTTTCCCTATCGTGTTCTTGGCAACTTTATCAAAAATCAATTAACTAAACGTGTGGGTTCATTTCTTGGTTTTCTTTTTAATTTCATTTGTTGATGTTTCTATTTTTAGGTAAGTACCATGCTGTTTTGATTACAATCAGTTTGTAATATGTTTTGAAAGCAGGGTGTGCTTTCAAGATGCCTCCAGGTTTTTTCTTTTTGCTCAAAATTGTTTTGGCTATTGTGGATCTTTTGTTGTTCCATACAAAGTTAAAGATTAAAAAAAAATTTCTGTGAAAAATGACATTAGAATTTTGATAGGGATTGCATTTAATCTATACATTGCTTTTGGTAGTATGGATAATTTTACAATACATTTCTAGTCTCTGAATATGGGATATTTTCTTTTTTTGTTTAATTTCTTTCATCAGTGTTTTATAGTTTTCAGTATATAGTTTTTTTTTTTTTACCTCCTTGGTTAAACTTATACGTACATATTTAATTTTTAAATTGTGATTGTAAACAGATTAATTTTCCATTAATTTCTCTTTTAGGTAGTTCATTTTTAGTACATGGAAATGCTGCTGATTTTTGTATGTTGATTTTGTATCTTGAAACTTTGTTGAATTCATTTATTAGTTCTATAAGTTTTTTTTGTAGAATCTGTATGGTTTTCTATATATAAAATTATGTCAGCAAATAGAGACAATTTCACTTCTTTCTTTCTTAAATTAGGATGCCTTTTACTTCTTTCTCTTGCCTAATTTCTTTTGCTCGAACTTCCAGTACCATGTTGAAAAGAAATGGTGAGAGTGGACACCCTTGTTTTGATCCAATCTTAGAGGAGAATCTGATGATTATGTGTCTTGGGGTTGATTTTCTCATGGAGTATCTTACTGGACATCTCTAGGTTTCCTGAATTTGAATACTGGCCTGTCTTGCTAGGTTGGGGAAATTCCCCTGGATGATATCTTGAAGTGTGTTTTTCAGCTTGGCTCTGTTCTGCTTATCTCTTTCAGGTACCCCAATCAGTTACAGGTTTGGTCTTTTTACATAATCCCATAATTCTTGGAAGTTTTGTTCATTCTTTTTATTTTTTTCTCTAATCTTGTCTGCCTCTCTTAGTTCAGCAAGATAGTCTTCAAGGTCTGTTCATCTGTTGATAATTGTGTTTGCATTGTGAGGTTATTGTGTTGTATTTTTCAGCTCCATCAGGTCATTTATGTTCCTCTCTAAACTGGTTATTCTGGTTAACATCTCCTGTAATGTTTTATCATGGTTCTTAGCTTCTTTACGTTGGGTTAAAACATACTCCTTTAGCTCAGTGAAGTTTGTTATTGCCCACCTTCTTAAGCCTACTTCCATCAATTTATCCATCTCAGCCTCAGCCTAGGTCTATGTTCTTCATGGAGAGTGTTGCAGTCACTTGGAGAACAGGCTCTCTGGTTTTTTGAGTTTTCAGTGTTTTTGCATTGATTGTCATTCTTCTTGGATTTATCTACCTTCAGTCTTGGAGGCTGCTGACTTTTGGCTGGGGTTTCTGTGGTGTCTTTTTCATTGATTTTGTTGTTGTTGTTGCTCTCTGTTTGTTTTTCTTTTAGAAGTCAGGCCCCACTTCCCCAGGGTTGCTGGAGTTTGCTGTGTGTCCACTGTAACCCTGTTCACCTAGGTCCCTCCTGCACCTGGAAGTATCACCAGTGGAGGCTGCAGAAGAGCGAAGTTGGCTGC